AGCGTCCCCCATCTCTGCTGATTTTTGATAATAAATGAATGCCTTATGTTCATCCTTTTCAACTCCAATTCCATTAAAATAACAGTTACCAAGTGCAGATATTCCATCAGAGTCACCCAAATCAACAGATTTGTTATAATAAATGAATGCCTTATGTTCGTCTTTTTCAATACCAATTCCATGCCTATAACAATTCCCAACGTGATACATGCATTTAGGATTACCCAAGTCAGCAAATGCTTGCAAACGAAGAAATATTTGGTCATAAGGAAACTCTTCTGTATTCGACATTTCGTGAATAAGAAAATAATGTGAACCTAGCTAAGATTTTATGGATAATGAAAAATCCATGTGGAATTTTAATTGGTGTTATAAATATTTTGTTACAAACCAAATCCTTATTTGTGTTACAGTATGTATTATTTGAATATTATTTTTCGGAATTTAATGATATTACGTATACGTAACGATAATATAAATGAACAACCCAATTTGGTTAATAATACATGCACCAATGAAAATCATAGTTATGTTCATATTTATAAAAAATAAATTAACAATACGAGTGGATTAAATACTAGGAACATGAGGTTTATAGTTTTATGAATTTTTACTAATAACTGATTAAAAATATATTCATTGTGCTTAGAAAGATATAGATATTAATAAAGTGATGCTTGCATTACTTTATCATTTCTCAGTTTAAAAATCAAACTCTCGAATTTATTTAGCCATTAATTTCATTCGCACAGTATATAAATAATGATGTGTTCATATTATATACATTATGCACATTATAGCTTTAATTAACTAGATTAGAGCTTATGTAAATTCTAAATTCTTTTCGCAACTTTAAGAAACTTAACGTGCGCTCACGTTTTATAAAGATTATTTTCACTACATAAAACCTACAATCATTAACTTACATTTTCTAGTAACAAACAAGATTGCTTTTATAATGATCGTTATCCATTTCCACATATTTAAGTCGCCTTACCAACCTTCTACCTAAATAATAACTTTACTGTCTTTAACCCTCCAATAAATATGATTCAAGCTAAACCAGACAATAATAATCAACAAGCTTTCCTGAAATCGTAACATGATTACAGACTTTACTTATTTTCTAACTACACACGTGAAATAGAAACTTAAAGTTGGGTCGTTTTGCATTTTTCCTCTTTCACACATTTGACTGATATGGGATAATCAAACATTGAACTCTATTAATATGAAAAATCTTTGTAATAAAATATTAATAAAGGTTATTTCTGTAATGTTTAAAAAAATTTATTAATAATTAAAATTACAAAGCCATTATCATTAAAATATATTCATTTAAATTTAAAAGGCATAACGATATTAAAGCTTAATAATCAATAGAAATGCTGGGTATAAAGTTGATAAAATAGACTAATACAATTTTTATTAAATCATGGTTTAATATTAAATTCCGAATTTTCGATTTTTAGACTCCTGTGGTATGTATGCATGTTCCCAATAATTTGAGAAATAGCTTCAATTAAATTTATATCGTTCTTTAATCTAAAATTAGTATAATTTTTTTTGCAAAAACGACGTATTAACCTACTATAGATCTAATACAATCATATAATTTAATACAGACAATAAACTGTTTTCTATTACACCAGTAAATTTCTCTCTATTATAAACAGTAAATTGCTCTCTATTACTAAACAATAAACTTGATCTATTTGTTTTTAATGATTCAACTGATTCAAGAAATCATAATAAGATCCACTAACATTAGTACTAGCGAAAAGAAAGTATTTATACAATTTCCAAGTATTAGAATCTGGTAAAGAAAAGTTAGCTAATACTTCAGCCCAATCATTTGCATCTAATCCTTTCAAATTGTAAGCAGATTCTGTGGTATATTCAATTTCCCAAGTTATCTTTCCTTCTAGATTGGCTTTTTGTAAATTACTATAATATTGAACCCAATTTTGTAATTTGCCAAAGGTTTCATTAGAAGTAGAGTAAGTGAATTCACGAAATGCAGGGTTGATGTCTTCAAAATAAAAGGTTTTGATAAGATAAAATGAACACTTCAAAATATTTAAAATATTTTAAATAAATATCATGAGTGAAATTTTTTTTTACCCGGAACAATTGAAGGAGCATTATATAATGGCATTAATATATTTTTATAATTATCAGGTGACTTTAATATTGTAGGGTCGCCAAGTCCAATAAGTTTATATCCTGATGAGTTTGATACGAGAAATGCTGTATTATCTTCATTTGTATGTCCTGTTATATGATAATTTAATTAACAATAAAAATTTTTAAATTAAAATACATAGCAATAAGCTTACCAGTAAAATGGCCATAAATAACATCATGATAACGGCCAAGCAAATCAACATAAGAATTATAACATGATTCGTTATATTGTTGATACCCTATATAATTAAAAATATATATATATAATTCAAACACTAGATATTCATTCACTCATTTTAGACAAATAAATTTATATATCCACTCCATTTTCACCTGTAACATTAACAGGAGGGACATGTTGTATGATATAAACTTTTCTAGCATCATTTTTTGCATTTTCCAATTCATTTTCAAACCATTTCAATTCTATTTCACCAGGTGAATTTGGAACTGAGCAATCCGGAGATTGCAAATTCTGGGGATAAAAATACATTGAATTTAAACTTATGACCGAAAGTTTTGAATTAATATCGTGACGAAAATAGCCACCAACTAAAAAGTCATTTGTTAAATTTAATTTTAAAGGAGCCCATGCGCTTTGCACGGCCGTTAATAGCTCATTTGGACCAGGTGGAAGTTGGTCATGTTCTAAATAATGTAACCAAATTTTAGTTGGTATGATAGTAAATCAAAAAGACACAAAGCTTTCTTACCAAATTCGTCGTTGTTCCCCAATGTGGGAAACTTATTAATGAATAGATATATACATATTATTTTAACCATATATTTACAACATATCAAAATAAACAAAATATAGTAATTAATGAACTTACAAACTTAATCTTGTCAGGATTAAAAATATCCGTAAAATATTTAACAATAATTTCATGTCCGAAAATAACTTGATCTTTAGTTCTAGGGATTGATTTATCTCGATCATGTCTAATGAAATCTCCAGTATAAATAATAAAATCGATATCTTTAAAAGAATTTTGTAAGTATGAAACTGTTTCATTGCTTAAAGCATATGGAGTATCACATGAAGATAATAAAGTTCCATATTCTCCTGCAGTGTTTACATCAGGATTAGTTTCGTTTTGTCGGTGACATAATTGTTTAGGATCACTTTTACTTATGTAAAACGGATCAAGGTGAATGTCTTTTATTTTGGAAAGATGTGAAAAATTAAACAATACGGGATTAGTTCGTGAATTAAAGATGGATATTTATCCTAATTACTGAATTATATAAAAAAGTTCAAAAAAATATTTGCCAGTGATATGCAAAAATTTTCCGAAAAATCCATCTGTTGCAGCTTCACAATTCAATTTCGTTTCAGTTATGATAAACAATAAAGCAATAAAAATTAAAATGAACTTCATGGTTTTTCTTTCAAGAATAAGCATAATCGTTTATAAACGCTCTAGATTTATATTAATTTATATAAGTAACGATGACGGCAAGAAATTATTTTAATACCATGGCTTAGGTCAGAAAAAGTCTCAGCCACAAAATGCAAGCTTTTGAATTCAAAGATTAAGACAGTGAGTCAATTACCACGATTACGCTCAAGTAACGCATTTTCATGTGTAGTAATTTAATTGTTCGTCGTGAAAACTTTCGTATAAAAGTGATCTTACGCTAGTACATAATGTTGTTATTTTGTAACTTGGACTTTTATGAGTTTTATGCTAATATCCTATATACAGTAAATGCAATGAAAATGAGGTGGCATACTTTACATGGTGCACAACACGGTTTAAGAAAATTGTTCTTTGATTCAACATAAAAACTCGAACATTAAGCGGCGCAAGTTTTTTAAGGTTCCAGATAAAACTGGTTAGACTTGTGCGTGTGTATCTTCGTAAAATGAATATGGCTTTTTTCTTCTTTTTTTTTAGAATGCATATCACAATCTGCACGATCTGCAAAAGAAACGTGGATGATTTCTTGATTTTTTTCGTATTTTTGGCGAAATTTGCATTATTTACAATTTCAACTACGTAATTCGTAGATAATCCTCGCTCACCATTTCTGCGCTAAGGTCATTGCCACTTTCTGCATTACCTTGCGGATTTTACTACCATTGCTTGATTGAAATTCAAGTTTCTAAAAAGAGCTTAATTTAAATTATTAGAGTTCTCAAGAAATTTTTAATGTTCATTATGGTGATCCTAAAGGGTTGTTAATTCTAGTAGCCCAAATTAAAATCCACCTTTTACACTAACTTGAGTTAAATTCAAATTATTGTAGCATTACTTAATTTTATAAATACGTAGTTTTATAATAATAAAGTACATAATACAAACGGATACCAATTTTACTTGCGTCATGTTCGAGTTGACCCTAAACTCGACTCAAATGACCCTTTTGGTGCACTAGTTTATTATATCAATAGTTTTTGAAAACATTTTGAAATAATAAAATCGTTTCACATAAGAGATTATTTTAAATATCAATGTTCTTTGATAGTCATGAGAACACTGAATTTAACACTTCTTACAATCTGTTCGATTTTGTCACGAAAAATTAAACGTGACCTATTTTAGTGTAATCGATTACACCTCTAAAATTAAACATAATATAAACTGTAAATTCAAAAAAGATATAATTTTCAGATGTTGGGTATTCGGAATTTTGGTATTTCCTGAACCACGATCTATACATAGATAAGTTGGACTAAATTTGCTCTAAAAATGCTTATTTTCGACCAAAATTCGAAAATTTTATGATGTAAAAATATAATGGTTATTAATTTCTCTCGAGGTTTCCTTTTTTTGTTATCCTCTGACCTACATACGTATCTACGTACGCATAGCAGTTCCATTGATTTCATCGTTACAAACCTTTCTCATAATTAGTACTTCTGTATTTAAGTTGCACCTGGAGTAGCAACTTATTTGCAATACTACGTAGGTTCGCATATATGATATACTGTATTTGATCTAAGACTTTTCAGAAATGATCAGTGACAACTTTCATTTCTAAATTTTTCTCAGGATAGCTGTTAAACTCCGATGAGTATAATCCGTAACATTCACGCAAGAATTTAGTAATAAGGCAATGACTAATATTACACAGCATTTGAACTTTAACATTCACACAAATGCTTTCGACCGAGATTTATGCATCAGCTTTCTAGATGCTTAATGCTTTTGCATTTTGTATAACTTCTTCGTGAATAATTTTTGAAACAAAAAAAGAAATAAAATAAATAAAATAAATAAAAGTTGGATTTATAACCTTTTACATTTCAATATACATATTTCTTATTTTGAATTAATCTATGCTCAAAACTATTTTTTTAAAAAATTTTAATCGAAATTCACTTTAACAATTTAAGGTATAATCGTTAAAAATATCAATAAAGCAATGATAGAATTCACTCCACTTTCGATTAAAATAAATACCCTATTTATTCTAAAGAACGCACAGGGACATGAATAAATTTAGCCAATGATTTCTTAAAAATAAAATTATGATGCATATTATGTTAAATTAATTATGATTCTCTTCTCTTCAAATTGTATAATTATCAAATAACGCACTCCATTATAATCGGTACTCTAGATCAATTAATTTTTAATATAACTTTAAGATCTAGATCAATTAATTTTTAATATAACTTTAAGACTGTTACTAATTTTCGCCCTAGGTCAGTGTTGTCACGTTTACTATTTCCAAAAGTCCACATGTCCAAGAATGTCCACAGCATATACAAGCTTCAAAAGTTAATATATTAATTTAAAAAAAGATATGTTTATATATTTTTTATAATGCTGAATATTTTTATTTAGAAAGTTAAAATAGATTAACTTCATAAAATTTTGAGTAATTTTAATTTATTTATTTGTCCAAACCATGTCCACAACTGTTCCATGCCAAACTGCCCTAGGTGATCACCCAGTTATTCATATTGCCGGATTTTGTGCAACCAAAATAAAGCGAGGAAAAAAACCTAAATAAAAGGGTTTCAGTAATAAATTTTACGTATAATTAGCTTCTCTTATACTAACCCAAGACTCCTAAGCCTTAAAATTTGTTGTATTTTTAATGACAATTTTATAATACCATGCGATATCACCGGGTGAAAATCAGTTATCATCCCAAATGATAAGGTTTAGTTTTAAATGCTGATTTTTAATTCTTTTAGTAAACTAGGCGCTTGAGTTACTTAAAGGCGTTTAGGATGAGTAAGATTATTAGATTGGATTAATAACTTATGTACGAAATTAAAACCATAATATCAAATTAACATTTATATATTTATATTCAAATTAACAAATCTTTAATGATTGAATAAGTTTTCATAATGAATAAGATAACTGTGTAATGTTGTCACGCAAAATAAGAATTATAATGTCGTATTTTAGTAAATATATATGTTGCTACACTATTGGGATATGCGATATATTCAATAAAGCTAAACAATACCTAGTTCTATAAATTTGCAGTAAAATTTTTTTATCATTATTAAGTAGCTGCTCAAGCAGTTGTGCGAATCAAAGAATTGGGAAATATGTTACATGTAAGATTAAAGCAAACTTGAAATTAGGTTATGTCAAATTTAAATGTACAGATATAATGTCATAAACTCATTGTGATTGTAATAGGTTATGATGATTTATTAACAATTACCAAATGACTTCTGGACTGTAGTATGTAAAAGTCTGATCTATTGAATTGATTTTTTTCATTATAAAAATCCTTGTTTATACACTCTTAAATTAAAATGTAAATAACTTTTATGTTCACTAATTAAGTGAATAAACTAGTAAAATATATGAATTTAGTATCAAAGGCTCTTGAGGTGTTTAGAGGAAATACGTCTATGATTTTGATTAGTATACAGCATAGCGGGGATTGAAAGATTTTTGTAATTTATCCCGTGATATCGTAAAAATTTAAACTTAACCAAATCGCATGAATAAAGGACTTTTTATGTATAAAATAATTATATCTTTGACGAAATTTATGCCAGCAGAAATTTTTACCATTAAATCTCGATAACTTTAAACCAAAACTGTAACCTTGCCGCAGACAAAATTCTGGCAATTCAAAATTTTATTAAAAAAAATCCCGACATATGCGAATCAAAAAAGAAAAACAATTAACCAAAAACGAAAAAAAGGTGAACCACGAACGAAAAATACAAGTAAATGTTTAAACTTTATCTTAGAACCTAATAACTAATAAAGAAATAATCTGAACAATTTTAGCTCAAACTGATCTTTATTTTTACTTATTTAAACTTATTTAATAATATTATACAATTACGATATCGCTACTTCGTTTTAGCTCCTACGAATTTTATAAACCTTATACATAATCTCAACTTTATTTTATTTGTTATCAGCCTAGATTATACGCAGTCAAGTTTCTTTATTAGTTAGCCTATTTTTCACAAATAAAGACAACTTAAAATGCCAATTTTAACGATTTATTGTACCTATAGGCTAAACTTAAACGTTCAAACATACCTCTCATCTAACTTCCGAATTACTTCGACAGTATATAAGGTAAAACTTGACCTTTCGAATTTTTTTTATCCGAATTCATAACGATAACATACATAAATAATTTTTTTTTGACGAAAATCATTACTGTTCTAGTTAAAAAGAAAATGTGGCGGATCACGAGCAAAAGCATGACCAATGACCAACAATGAATAACCCGTTTTACGTTGTGGGACCCGGATGGACACTGACCGCTTTGGGGGTCATATCCCAGTTAGGCAAAGATCGGTCGCATCCGT